TTCCTGCCACGGGTGGGGATGGTAAGAGAAGAGCTTGGCCAGGGGGGAGGGGGTTGGGGGGGTTGGCACACACTTCCTCTCTTTCGAGGCCCTTTGGCTTTCCTCATTTTCTGAGCCAGCAAGAATTGAACTCGTGTATGTGTTCAAAACGGGAGAAACTTAACATTGTGGCATTATATTTATCCATAATCAACCAAGGGGTAATATGTGTGTGTGCGTTTGTCTTTTGTCCTTTTTCACGCACAATTTTCTTAATTTTTTTTTTTTTTGGTTTCATTTTTTTTTCTTTTTTGCTTGTCATTATTTTTTGGGAATTTGTATTTTAACTTTCTGAATTGAATAATTAAAAAAAAAACTGGCTCTCTCTAGCTGGATGGCACACGGAATTAGTCTCAAAACCATCTTTGAAAATGTGGGAAAAGGTGGCCAGGCGTTTGCATGCCAACCGGCAGAACCTGGGAAAGCTGAGAAATCGCCCCCTCGCCTGGGGCAGCTTTGAAGGCCGCCACCTGCCAACGTGAACTCTCTTCCTTATATCTTTTCTATGTTTCAGATTCAGACGATGCTCTGTTGAAAATGACCATTGGACAGCAGGACTTTGGCCGAGCCGGTCTGCCTGACCTCAGCACCATGACCGAAGAGGAGCAGATAGCCTACGCTATGCAGATGTCTCTTCAAGGAGCTGGTGAGCTGGGAGGAGGGGGTGGCAGGCCGGGGCAATCCCAGCGAGGCTGCCTCCACCGCCATTCAGGCCTGGAGAAACTTGACCAGTGAAACTGGTGTTGCCACCAATCTCTTATCTCTCTCTCTCTCTCTCTCTCTCCAGAGTTTGGGCAAGGGGAGTCGGTGGAGGGGGAGAGCTCGGCTGATATGGACACGTCAGAACCCGCCAAGGTTTGAGTTTTGGGGGGGCTAAGCTGGGCTTGAAGGGGGCAGCGCTGAAGACAGGAGCCTCTCCAGACTGCTTGGGGGTCTCATGAGATAGGGTGTCCCCTGGCTCAGGTTCCCTTGCAGCTTGGGGAAAGCTGACCAAGCGATTTTTTTTATTTTTAAATGAGAAGTCACCAATGATAGCAATGCAGGAAAGGGAAAATTCTGGCACGGTGTGTACCTGGGCCTGGTCTCCTCTCCTGCCCACCCAGCTTTCCCAGAACACCTGCTTTAGGGCGTGGAGGGGCTCCCATTGTGGTCTGTTCTCAGATTAACCCAGTTGTGGCTTACTGTGACTTCCGACCCCTTCCTCCCTCAGGAAGAAGACGACTATGATGTCATGCAAGATCCTGAATTCCTCCAGAGCGTTTTGGAAAACCTGCCGGGGGTGGACCCCAACAATGAGGCCATCCGCAACGCTATGGGGTCCCTGGCCTCCCAGGCCTCCAAGGAGAACAAGGAGAAAAAGGAGGAAGACAAGAAATGAGCGGGGGGGAGGGGTGGCCGAGTCCCTTCTCCTCCTCCTCCTGTCCACACACCTCCCTGGTTGTATAGCCTGGTAGCGTTCGGTTTCCATAATCTTTCTGGGCGTGTCTGTCTGCAGGGACGTGGGGTCCTGGGGGAGGGATGGGGTCCTTTTCACATTTTGCTTCTGGTTCAACAGTTAATAAAACCCTTAAATTTTCTCTGTACCTGGTGTGTTTCTTTGAAGCAGGCACCTAAAGCGTCCCCGTGTGTGTGTGTACGTGTGTAAACCTCCGTCTCTGTAAAAAGTTGAGATTTCATCCTGGTGTAATTGGAGAATGCCCAGCTCCTGAGCCTCCATCCAGATCTATTTCTCCCCCGGCTTCTGGATCCTTGTCTGTTAGATGCTCCCGGAGAGAATTCTAGCAACACGTAGAAACGGCCCTCTCCTAGAACCATGATTACTGCCGATTAAACACTGCATCGCTTACACCAGCGAGTATCTCTCTCTCTAGGGTGGGTTGCAGGAAGAGAGAGAGGTGTTAGGCTGTGGTAGCCAAACATCAGAAGATGCCTGGAATTGCATCCGACGAGGTGAACTGCAGTTCACAATCCCTCATGCCTGCGATTAAGCTTTGTTAAGTCTGCTGCAACCGGGACCGGCTCCTATTTTTAGTTCAACATTTAAAGATCAGTCGCTGTGAACAAGACTCTTCTGGCCGCCTCCACTCCTCCCCATGTTCTTAACAGAGTTGGGAATTTTGGAAACGCAGAGGGTTTTTCTTAACTGAATTATCCAGACCAAAAACTTCCACGTTCTCTCTTCTTTATTAAGTGCTACAAATTCAGCGATTTTTAAAGGCGGTGGGGAGACGGTCTCGTGGCTTATGGCTTGTCTTCCACAGCCGTGCAACCGTCTGGTGGCCTCTTCCGTGGCAGATTTTAGTAGGAAGGAATAAGGGGATGTCTTTCCTAAGTAGGTCTGGTTCTCGGAGAAGCCACTGAAGAAAAGAAGAAAGGGTCTGGCTTTGTTGGAATGAGGGAAGGAAGGTGGGTTATGTTAGGAAATGGCCTTGCATTCCCCCCACCCCCAAATCTGGGATGCAGAGGGAGGCCTCTCTTGCCCATCTTGACCCATCCATGCAACTTACATGCTGAGCTTCCAACCAGGTATGTTGGCTTGTTGCTGCACAGCAAAGAGACTAGGCCTCCCAGGGCCCCCGTTCCCATCATCTGTACCTCCGCGGTGATCCCCAGAGTGACGTTTTTCTGCAAGAGAATTGAGAGCAAATTTGGCTTTGGATCACCCCTGTCCTCCTTCCCTTCGCCCCCATTTCTCTGCTTCCCAAGGCAAGAGGGAAACGGCTGGAGAAAGAGCGAGAAGCAGAGCTGGGTGGCTGGACCATTTTATGCAGAGCATCTGGGAGCATTTGCTCTGCAAGGCGAATAAATAGCATCCCTGCCCCTTCCCTTTGCCCCAAAGCAGCAGAGAGTTACCAGGACAGCTTGGAAGAAGCTTTCCAGCTCTTGGCAGGAGGGCAGCAGTTCAGAGGGGTCCATTTTGCGGGTCACACACCCCTCCGGCTGGCCGTGATACACCATCAAGCGCTGGAGAGGGAACAGCCCATAGACAAGAGGTTGGCATTCCCTGCACGTCATCTCTGCTCCCAGTAAATCCCAACTAAACGCCTCTTTCCTACACATTAGAGGGATCATTACTCCCACTGGGCAAAACAGGATCCAAACACACCCCACCACCGTTCAATTAAATCTGATCAGACTTGGGGGGGTGGGATCCATTTCTGTAGCTGCAAAATGACAAAGGGAGACGATGCATTCACCAAAAAGTGTATCAAGTACTTTCCTTCATGGCTCTCCACTCCCTGGAAAACCGAGCGTGGCCTTTCCTTCCACCAAGAGTTTTGCTATTTAAATGTTGTTTTAAAAGAAGGGTAAAATGCAAAAGCATTTTACATTTGTAACCAATGAAGAATATGCTGTCCTGGCTCTCTACGTTTTGCAATTCAAGCACTGATGTGGGATATCGGCGAGTGCTTTAAATTCCCTGCTCTGGAGATGGTGAAGGGAAAACCCTCAAAGCCGTCCTTCAGCAATTCCAGGGCCCTTTGGCTAAACTAAGGAGGCTATGCCAGAAAAGGAGGGAAAGGCAGAGACAAGCCCAGGTCACCCCTCAAAGCTCCAGCTTGATGTCGTCCGTGACTCACATTTCTCAAATCGCAGGTAATGCCGGGCGAGAGGCCCTGTTCATCGAGCTCGCTGAGAGCCAAGAGCAGGGATGCTTCATTTTGGACGTTGACTTGTGCAGGGTAGCCAATAGCGCCCCTCTTCGAGCAGGGGAAAGGAAAAAGAAAGTGGGGAGACTGTCAGATTTGGGTTCAAGGCTTTGCCAGCAGAGCATCTGAAATGCCAGCTGTGTCACAGGACACAATCCTACCCAATCTCATTCCCAGCCTACATATTCCTACAGTGGTTTTTTTCCCCAGGTGCACTGAAATTATTACCTGTTCGGGTTGATTTACTTTTATGGATCCAATATCTGGCGTCTGGAATGCAGTATCCCCACTCTATTCTGGTGCTCCTTCACAAAATTAGTACAGTACATGCAGTTTTGGCATATTCCGATCACTGCCTATGTTGGTGCTGTGTTGTGATCACGCTTTATGATTGCATTGGCTCCTGGCCAGATGCTGGGTGTGACCTCCCTCTTTTAACCTGACCGGCTCAGAAATGTAAACTTGGCCATCTCTGTTCTGTGCTCCGGCCCCTTCTTAATGAGTGTCCTAATTAGCACCATTCAGAGACAGACAGTCCAGCCGCTGCCTCCCTTTCGGTACCTGGAGACAAGAGGTTCGCCCCAGGAATGTCGCCACGAGGATCCCAACGATGCTGATGGAAAGAGCAGCGATGGCACCCACTGTCAGGATCACCAGCTTGTGGTTCGAGCCTACGGGAGTCTTGGTGAGCTCCAAACCGGAGTGGAGAGACTGTCAAACCAAGTTCAGAAAGAGACAGACAATACAACCCAAGGTCAATGATCACAAATGCCCAGTCCGTATGCCTTGAACCCCACTTACATAAGGAGGGCTCTTTGGGTGCAGCTCTCCTGGCCAGGAATCGGGGTGCTTCTCTTCATTGGCCATGTCCTGTGGGATGGGCTCCGGGTGGAAGCACACGATGGTAAGGAAAAGGGGGTCACGTTGCCTCTTTTATAGCATTTGACTCGTCAAAGCCTCACCCATCCGGCTGGGAGCCGAGGCGAACAATGTGCCTCTATAAATTTCCCAGCTCGGCATCCTCTGAGCTAGAAATCTTTCTGTGCTTCTCTGACACCCAGTAAATTTGAAGGTCATGAGGCAGGATTAGAAAACAGGTATTTTCCCCTCAGGTAAGAAAGTCCCTTTATTAGAGAAAATGCAGAGATGCCCAGCCTACGGTGTGGGATATTGTCTTCCTTTTTTTTTTTTTTTTTTGAAGACAGTTACTAGAGTTGAGTTTACGCAATTCAAAGTCTTGTTAATTTTTTGGAGGCATTGCTTTATCTCTTCCAACACTCCAAAAAGTATTATTTTGGTGACTGTTGGCCAAGGTCCATGCCGAGGAACAGAAAGGGAAGATTCAGTGTATTGCTGCATCATCTTTTGCAATCCGATGTCCATTGAATAAGGTGTTTCTTTCTAAAAGGTGAAAGAAAAAAAGAAGAGAGGTTGAAAACAGTGCAGGAGATAAGTACAAGCCCAAGCCAAAAACAAAGCCATCCATTTCATCTCTCCTGTTGCAAGAAAAGCGAGAAGAGAGGCAAAACAAGAAGGCGGCCTTTGTTTCAGGGTCCAAGAAGACGGCGGGACAGAAGGGCCTGTCTCTGTTTCCCTGTCATTTTGTTCAGGTCAGGTTGCACCACCTGATATTGGGAACAAGGTGCTTTTGAAAGGGAGGCTCCGGAGCTGGTCGTTCACCCCAACTGCTCTCCCTTGGAGGAAAAGAGCCTCGTCACGGTGGCCTTGGAAGGTGTCCAAAGCCCGGCCTTGTGTGGGGGGAGACAGAGACCCTGGCCTCGGTGGATCACAAAGGGAAGATTGTTCCAGGCTGGACTGGCATGGTGAGCCGGCCAGGGAGATCAAGATCTGGCTTGGCACGAGGCAGGTGGAGAAACAAAGCACAAAGCCGCCTCAAGGAGAGGCAGGAGGCCAAGGGTCTCGCTCTTTTGCTGGGCCTAACACTCCGGCCTCCTCAGGGTTCTAGTTTTCATGGGCGAATCTGCCTTGCAGGGTTGGTGTGCAGAGCTGAAAAAGCAATTAGGGTTGCAAGGTCAAAGGTCATCTGCCGCAAAGTTTTTTCCACTGGCTTTTCCTGGTTTTCCCAGCCATCTCCCAGCAACACCCTTGTGAGGTAGGCCAGGCAGGGCAATAGTGGCTTGGCTTGGGTTTTCCATGCTGGCTTGTGCAATAAGCCTTGGCTTGGAGAGGAAAGGAAGCCAACTTTTTGACCAGGCTTCCTTCCTCCAGGCCAAGGCTTTCCAAACTTGGCAACTTTTAACACTTGGGGACTTCAACTCCCAGAATCCCCCCAAATAGCTGGCTGAGGAATTCTGGGAGTTGAAATCCACAAGTCTTAAAAGTTGCCAAGTTTCGAGAGCCTTGGCCTAGGGAATTTTTAAAATTTTTAAGCACAAATCAGTTTCATGTTTTTTTTTTATTAAAAAGAAGCACACTTTCCCCTTGCCGGAAGTGTAGGGTGATTAATATCGCCCACAATCCTTTGCGCTCTCCCACATGCGCCCTTTTCTCCCAGGCGCCCTTGCGCGGCTCCCGTGGCCTCTCCCTCCCATCATGCCCTGCGAGTTGGTGTTTTTCATGTTTTCAATCCCTTTGAGGGCGGACAATTCATTTGAATGACGGGAGTAATACGCAATAGGATGATTGGAACACGAGGATAAAGCCCCGCCTCTTCATAGTCGAACACCAATAGGTGGTTCGTTACACCTGCTGCAGTTGCTGTGTTCTCAAGCAATGAGTCAATATAATGAATGTCCCGCCTGAGGCGGATTTTCACCAATTGAAAAGCGACATTCGGTGTCAGCCTGAGTGACGTTCATATGAGCCAATGGCAACGAGAAGCCCCTGGGCAACTATGGCACTCTTAGCCAATAAAACCGATGGGGGGAAGCTCAGCCCGACGAGTGAATTCCCCCAGCTGGGGCGCACAAAACGAACTCCCCCGGCCAGCGGATGAGGCGTGCCGAGCGTCGATAGGCAGGCCGTCCAGCCAATAGATCAACAAGACGACAGGAACAGGCTAGTCCCCTCTGCTTCCTCGCCTCCAATGAGTACCGAGGTCGAAGTGGGCGGTGCAACCCGCTGTAGCGAAGGCCCTTGACCCTATAGCCATCCGGAGCGCCTGCTCCCGCCCTTGAGTGACGTCTCTCTCGGCCAACGGCAACCCGCCAAGCCTCTGGAGTGGCGGGCGAGCGGTCCAATGTCGGTTGGCGAGCGCTGGAGGGGGGCGAAGCAGGAAGCGGCCGAGGAGGCGGAGGCCCTCAGTACAGTCGGAGAAGCGCCGAGCCGACCGCGAAGCCCCCCACGCCGGGCCGCCGAGGGGGCCGGGCCCGCGCAGGTAGGAGGCCGTGGGGCCGCCTCAAGGCGGGGGGAGGTTCTCTTCCCCTCCCCCGGGGCCCCCAAGAGGGGGTGGGGGCAGGGCAGCCGCGTGGGGGGTCTCCCCCCGCCACCCCCCCCAGCCCTGGGGAGCCCCCTCCCCTCCCGGAGGCCTCTGCGACCCCCCCGAACCCTCCCCCAGCCTTCGAGGGGTAGGACTACAAACCCCATTTCCCCTGGACTCCAGATCCCATCATCCTCTCCCGCTCTGCCTGGAGAGAAAAAGCCCCCCCCCCCATCTGTGCCTTTTTTAAAAAAAGGGAACTTCCAAAATAAATACAGCCCCCCCTCAAAACAAAGCCTACCTGGAGGGAGGGAGGGAGGGGGGGCTGCTGAAAATTGCATGGGGGGTTTCTTTGATTCCCCCCCCCCAAACCAGGAAGACCCTCCCCCATTATGACACTGGGCTAAAATCTCATTAATGCAAAAAAAGGGGGGCTATTTTTCCATGGAGGGGGCAGATCGGGGGGGGGGCAGCCCTAAAAAAAGGAGGGGAAGCTTTGAAGGAGCTCAAGGGGGGCTTCCTGGTGTTTTCTCTCCCCCCCCCTTAAGAGGGATGAGAATTAAGGGAAATGAGTGGGGGGCTTCCTGGGGTTCCCCCCCCATTAAGAGAGAGCAGAATAAATGGAAATGAAGAGTTTTGGGGGTCCTGCAAATCCCCCCCCCCCAACATTATTAACATGAACCTGCAGCATCTTCTCTGGCGACTTCTTTGTGTGGCAGTGTTGGGCGTTTTAATATTTCACCATTTTAAAAGTGGTTTGGCTGTGTAACTTTTAACAAGCCTCCAGATTTCCTGTCCGCCCACCATGCGAGTCCTTACCGGCCCTGGACCTGTTCAGCTTCTTTTCCCCCTTCTTTTTAACAAAATTAATCAAAAGTCGCTTAGATTATTACGGGCATCATCTACCTGGGTTGGGGAGTTGGAAGGTGTGTTTGGAAATGTTGAATTGATGCATCAGTTTTGGGCAATGCAGAGTCATCGTGTGCAGGATCTAAATGGGGGTGGATTTTATGTACTTTTATTTTATGCACTTTTGAAGTCTGGAAATTTCTCTTTGGGGGGGCTCATAGCCATGTGTTATCGGTGAAACTCGGGGCAGGGGGGGAAAAGTTGTTAAAGAGTGCACAAAGCCCCTTTCCCCAAACCTGCAATGGGAAGAATTCATCTTTAATTCACTTTTGTTCTTTCTAAATCCCGTGCAACTCTTTTCTGTCCAGCAGACAAAACTTGGGCTCTCCTACTGATCTGTGCCGAAGGCTTTGGGGGATCTTTGCCATAACTACATAAATGTCCACATTGTGTGAATTTGATTAAAGCAGAAAAAGCTGAATGGTTTGAAGAGGAAGGTTTAAATATTTTTTAAATAGATTTTTCTTTTTTTAAATTTTCACCCTGGGTCCTCATAATCCTTGAGAAATTTGTAGGTTGCAGAAACAGCCAACCAACCATTGGCTTTTTATTAATGCTTTTTCAGAGCCTTCTTGCTAAAAGTGCCACACATTGGGGCATTATTGGGTTTTTTGAAGTGTGGTGTCCACTTCCTGTGGCTTCCTTCCTGGGGAGGGGGTTTTTTTTGTGAATCAGATGGCAGGTATTGGGGAAGGGGTGGGGTGGGAGGGGGGTGGCTGGCCAGAAAGTTTGGTGTTTTTGCTGATGCTAGTTTTGGGTTCCAAGGCAGCCACTTAATGCTGCCTTTCTTACTGTTTGCATTTGAATTGGTGCCATCTAGGAATGACTTAAAACACTTGTTGCTATTGATCTGCCCTTTATGCCCTGGGTGATAATGTGCCTTGTGGGCTGAGAAATCTCTTGACCTGTGTTTGTTATGCTTAAGACTCCTGCCATCTCCAGCCAATCAATATTGTATTTTCATTAAAATTAACCTCCCTTCCCCCTTCAGTGAACTTGGAGTCTTCTTTTTTTTTCTTCCCCCTTTCTCTTCCTTGCCTAGTATTTTTAAGTTAGCAGATGGTCGTGTCTTAATTCTCTTAAATGGACTGGAATTTAATCTCTTGCCAGACATGGCTTGGTCGGGTCGGGGGTGGGCAGCTGCCGTGGGCGTTAATTCATCTGGAATAGTAAACTCTCTCCATGGAAGAAAAAAAAAAACACACCACTGCTTCTCGCCCAACCTGTTTCTGGGGTGGATTTTGAACCCTGTGCTGGGGAAAGAAAGGAGGTCAGATGCGGGGAGCTTGAAAGTGGGTGATCTGTCCCTGCTTTGGAGGGCGGGGAAGGGGGCGAGCCTTTGGATAATGTCTGCAGCTGGAAAATCCACGCTTGGTGTTTGTTTCGGCCCCTGCCCGCAGTGTACAGAGGGGGGGTGCGAAGAGGTAAAAAGCAGGGAGAACAGAGGATGAAGACGTCCGGTCCAGTCCGGTCCGTGGTGCTAAGACAGAAGCAGGCTTTGCAAGATCCTGGTCAGCAGGTGGGCTTCTCTTTCCCCAGCTTCTGCCCTTCTCATTCATCCTCTGAATTAATTTTCCACCCTCAACCCAAAATTTCTTCATAAGAGGAAATGGTTCCTCTGTCCTCCTTGGCTGGGGTGCAGGCGAAGAGGAGCCGGTGTTAATTGCGCACCCCAGAGCCAAATCACTGGCCATAAATACTGGGCCTTTATTTCCAGCCCCTCTTCTACTCACACACACACACACACACACACACTGTGGCTTCAGCCTCCTAAGACTTCCAACCCCAAAGACATAACAGTTTAATTTTCCATCACACGGGTCCATTTTTTTAAATTTTGGGGATCCAACAAGGGGGGGGGGGCAGCTGTGTTGCACGTTTGCTCTGGAGAAGCACTGATTCCCGGCAGGTGCAGCTGCCCCCAAGTGCAGGCCGTGGGGTGCCCTGTGCGATGCCCTGGCAGAGAGCAACCTAGCAGGAGAACCAGCTGTTCCTCCCCTAGATTGGCAGCTGATGGTCCCCCCATCAAAATCCCTGTGCCCGCCCTCCTCAGGCGCTCCACCTGATTGACAGTGGAGATTTAAATCTCTCCCAGGGGAAGCCCGGCCTTTAGGATTGAGGAGATCGGGAAATCTGCTGCGGGGAACCCTGAAAGCTTCCCTTCTTTCCTGCTTTGCCCCAGTGGAGGGGAGCCAGGGGTGTCGTTGGTTTGAGACGGGGAAGAGGTTTGTGTACCTTGGTGTGACTCTGTTTTGGTTCCTGGGTCTAGGAAACCGGTCTGCTTGGGATCCGTGCGCAGGGATTACGAGGGATCCCCCCAGAGCGAAGCTTTGAGTGTCACCTCCGTAGATTTGGTCCATCGTGGAGACTGTCAGCTGTTCCCGCACTTACCAAATAACTTCAGCGGAGTTGGGGGTGGGTGGGAGGGTGGGAGGGAGGGAAAAAAGAGAGCCGTGGAATGACTTGGGGTGGACAAATTGGCTTTTAGTCTGAAACTGCAGCTCTGCTGTTTCCAAGAGTTCCTGCACCAGAGGCGCCATGGGGAGAGGCCGGAGGGCCCGTAATGGGGGTCTAGGAGACCCCTGCCAGCGTTGCTGAAGAGTCCTTTAGAGGCCCTGGGCCTTCCTTAGCAGGCAACGCAGCCGCACTCCTGTACGCAAGTGCTCCCTGGGCCTTTCGTTGCAGGCAGGGAGTCCTGGCCAGGGGCTGCCGTTCAGCTTTTGTGGCCTGAAACGTGGCTTGAATCTGCTGGATCAACAGAATCTGTTGAATCTCCCCTGCTGGAGGATCAGGCGTGCCCTGGGGCTGCTCCTGAAGAGCTGTGCCGCGGTGGCAGTGGGTTGTTGGCACACGTGTTTATCCAACCTTCCTTGGAGCAGAAGCTTCACACACACACACACACACACACACACACACACACCAGGCCTCCCTCTCCCTGCATCCCTCTCGTAGACCTCCCCCACTTCCAGAGGCAGAGAAGGGGGGGGAGGGGGTGAGCGAAGGGCCGAGGCCTCTCACGGCCTCCCCCCTCTGGTCCCTTGGCATGGCGGAGCCTTGTCTTCACCCTGGCGGCCCTGCCTGGTGATGGGCCTCCCTTCCTCCTCTTATCCAGCCAGCCCTGGTTTTCTCTCTTGCCCAAGGGCCCAGTCGGCCCTTCCTGCCCTCCGCCCCGTGCTCCAAGGGGGTGGGAAAGGGGGGGGGCTGCTCCTAACTCCGGGTTTTCTAGCATCAGCAGATGGCAGAGCAGGGCGCCTTTGGGGAGAGGAGGGGGGCGTAATTGCCCAACGTGCCAGCGCCTGGGCTGGAGAGGAGCAGAGCCGGGGGAAAGGTAGCCCTGCCTTCCCCTCCCTGGCTCGGCCCCAGGGGGGGAGCCGGGTGCTTGTTTTCCTCCGCATGGCTTCCCTCCCCACTCTTCCCTCTGCAGCTGGCGCTGGCTGGGGAAGCTGGGCAGAGGGACTGCGCCAGCCTGCCTCCCTCCCCAGGCGGCACCTGGCTTGCTGGCCTGGCAGGAGATAGAGGCCCTCAGCCACCACCCTCGCCACCCCTGTGCCCGTCTCCTGGCCTCTAGGGAGCCTCCCCGTCAGGTTGGTGAAGTGATCCAGCGTGGAGGGAGGGAAACGGCATCCTCGCTGGGCACTGCCCTCCTTGCTTCTCCCCTCCTGGCGGGAAAGGAGACGGGTTCTGCACAGAGGCTCAGGCAGGCGGGCGTGTGCTGGTGCCCCTCAAGATTGGAAGAGGGTCCTGCATCCCTCGGAGATTGGCCGGAAACAAAGGTGGTGGGACCTCAAAAGCATGTAAAAAAAAATGCCAGTAGAAAAATAGGGATCCCCTTTGGTCCCTCCTAGGGCAGCCCTAGATGTCCACACAGCATCCCAGGGTCACCGGATCACCTTTTGCGACTTTCCGACAAGCAAAGTCAAGGGGGAAGCGGGGTTCACTTAACGACTGTGTTCCTAACGTAACGGCTGCAGTGATTCAGTTAGCAACTGTGGCAAGAAAGCTCGTAAAATGGGGCAAATCTCACTTAACGACTGTCTCGCTTAGCAACAGAAATGGGCTCCATTGAGGCCGTTAGTCAAGGACTGTCTGTATTCCGCCTCCGAGGACAATGATAAGCTCTGATTTTGGGCCTTTTGCTGTCCGCTTTGGCCTCCGTGGGGAGGTGGCCGTCCGGCCAGCCCGACTCCCACCTCTTCGGAGAGCCGCTCAGATCAGCCAGGGGGGAGGGGAGCCTTGACCCCGTTTTGTGCCTCTTGGCTTGACCGCTGGCCCTTGTCTTCCAGAGCCTTCCGAGCCCTTCGCCATGGGGGACATGAAGACCCCGGATTTTGACGACCTCTTGGCGGCCTTCGACATCCCTGACATCGACACCAGCGAGGCCATCCATTCGGGCCACGAAGAGGCCGAGGCTCCCGTCCGTCCCGTCCCCGTGGAGGCGGCCGCCCCCGAGCACGTCCTGCCGCACGCCGACATCACCACCGTCAGCGTCATCGTGAAGAACACCGTCTGCCCCGAGCAGCTGGAGCCGGCGGACGGGCGCCTGAAGGACAGCGGCGGCCACCCGGGGGCCTCCCGCTTGCTGCAAAATGGCTTTGCGGCTCCCGAGGTCCCTCGCGCCTCCCCGGTCTCCTCAGCGGAAGCCGTGGCCCCCACCAACGGCGAGTGTTGGGCCCTGAAGGAGAAGGCCTCCAAGAGCCTGGATCTCTTCTCCCCCTTCAGCCCCGAGCCTGACAAGGACGGGGAGGCAGACCTGATCGACCAGCCGCGGGGATGCAAGGCGAAGGAGCAGGGCCTTGCGGGGCCGGCCATCCCCCCGGCGCCCCTCTTGTCCGCTGCCCCCTCCCTGGACGGCCCCGAACCTGTCGAAGAGAGCCTGGGACCCTCAACCCCTCCGGCCTTCCCTCCGGCCTTTGAAACTGGCCCTCCCGGTGGGATGGGCCTCTCGCTGACCCCTCCTCCTTCTCTTCCTCCTCCTCCTCTTCCTCCTCCGGCTGCTCCTCCTCTTCCGGCTCCTCCTGTGATCAAGCAGGAGGTGGACTGCGAGATGCCTTGTCAGGGCTCCAGCCCGTTGGGGCCACCCAAGTCCGCTTCTTCCTGCTACTCCGCAGAGACGTCCCCCCGAGTCCCCTGGCCCGGCTCCGAAGCAGACCTGGGGGGAGACCTGCCCGACATCAAGCGCCCCCTCTCCAGCCCTCGGGAGCAGCTCTTCCAGGGCTCCCCACAAAAGGGAGCCAGTCCTGGGCCCCGGGCCTCCCCAAAGCCCCCCGGCGATGGGTCCCTGAAAGAAGAGCCGGTGGAAAAGCCACTGCAGTGCCCCCCGGCCCATTCCAGTGGGGAGGAAGAGGAGGAGGAGGAGGAGGAGGAGGGGGACCAGAGCCCCGGTTCCCCCTCGTCCGGTTCCTCGCGGCCCCTCAAGGTGAGGATCAAGACCATCAAGACGTCCTCAGGGAGCATCACCCGGACGGTGACGAGGGTCTCGTCGGAATCCGATCCGGGAGCCGCCAAGCTGTCCTCGGATCAGGGGGGCCCGGAGATCCCGGCGGCCGGGGAGGCCCTTCTCCCTGTCGTCATCGCCCAGAAGGAAGAGGCCGCTCCGGAGAGCCCCGGCCCGAAGGCCCTGGCGGCCAGCCCGGCAAAGGCGGCGGAGGCCCCCAAGGTGGTCAGCGTGCAGCTGGGCGATGGCACCAAGCTGAAGGGCACGGTGCTGCCCGTCTCCACCATCCAGAACGCCAGCAGCGCCATGCTGATGGCGGCCAGCGTGGCCCAGCAGAAGGCGGTGGTGCTGCCCAGCAAGGCCCTGGCCAAGAGCATCCTCAGCCTGGTGCCCCAGGCCCTCCCCAAGGCCCCCGAGGTCAGGAGCGGCGGCCCCGCCCCGCCCGCCAGCCAGAAGGTCAACGGCACCACGGTGGTGGTGATGCAGCCGCAGAAGCCCTCCCCCCCCGTGGCCGGCACGGTCATCTCCCGCAGCCAGTCCAGCCTGGTGGAGGCCTTCAACAAGATCCTGAACAGCAAGAACCTGCTGCCCCCCTACAAGCCCAACCTGCTGCCCCCCGCCGAGTCCAGCCTGGCCCTCCCGCCCCTGGGCTACCGCTGCCTGGAGTGCGGGGACGCCTTCGCCCTGGAGAAGAGCCTGGCCCGGCACTACGACCGGCGCAGCCTGCGGGTGGAGGTGACCTGCAACCACTGCGCCAAGCGGCTGGTCTTCTTCAACAAGTGCAGCCTCCTCCTCCACGCCCGGGAGCACAAGGACAAGGGGCTGGTCATGCAGTGCTCCCACCTGGTCATGCGGCCCATCGCCCTCGACCAGATGATCGGCCAGCCGGACGTGGCCCCGCTCGTCTCCCTGGCCTCCCTCAGCCAGGCCAGCAAGGCCGCCTCCCCGGCCGGCCTCGCACCGGACGTCGGGGTGGCCAACGGAGGCGCCGGACAGGACCTGCCCGTCCTGCCCCTGGGCGGAGGCGGCACTGAGCAGCTGCCGGCCACCAACTCCTGCCAGTGCCTGGAATGCAAGGAGCAGTGCAAGGACAAGGCCGGGCTGGCCGCCCACTTCCAGCAGGCCGGAAGCATCTCCTCCTCCACGGTAAATGAGGGGAAGGGGACGGAGGGGTGGGGGGTGGGGGGCGGCAGCTGAACTCAAATCTGGGGTGTCCCCTGGGTGGTTGGGCCCCCGGCTCTCCCTGCCCTTCAACAGAAGAGACCGGACAGCCCCTTGTCTGGAATGGGATGGGCCTCCTGTTGGAGCAGGGGGTTGGACTAGAAGACCTCAAGGCTCCCTCCCCACCCTGTTATTCCGGCCCCATGGGTTGCAAGGCTGTTTTGGGGGAGGGGCCTTGGGTGGTGGAAATTCACCGTGGGTGGCTCCTCCCTATGGAAGACCTTGCACGGCTTAGTCCTCGCTTAGTGGCTGTCTTGCTTAGTGACGGCTATCATGGTCAGCAGTCCTTGCCTTGAGAAGAGCTTCCAGGTCTGCAAGGGAAAGGAAAGCCGAGGAGATCGTAAACGCGATCACAGCTTCACTTAGCAATCCCTGTTTTGCTGAATAACCGTGCTGGCGATTGCGGTCGCTAAGCGAGGACCACCCCTGCAGCCTGCAAGGTCCCATATCCGGAGGCAAGGCAGCGCTGGACGTCTTCTGCAACTCAGACAGAATTTGAAGCCCCCCCTCTGGGGAAAGAGAAGGAGGGCTGGCAATCCCAGACTGGCACTGGGTAAAGTCCCCCCCCCCCCCCCCCTTCTGCTTCCCCCCCCCCCCCCAATTCCAGGTGTGCAACAGCTGCCCGATGATCATGGCCAACCGCTGCAGCTTCAGCGCCCACCAGCGCATGCACAAGAGCCGGCCGCCCCACGTCTGCCCCGAGTGTGGGGGGAACTTCCTGCTGGCCAACTTCGACGCCCACCTGAAGGAGGCCTGCCTCCATTTCTCCCGCAGGATCGGCTACAGGTAGGATGGGGCGGCATCCTGAGCTCCCCTCGCCTGCCCTCCTTCAGGGGATGGACGCCTCTCCCGGCCTGGCAGCCGGTGGGCTTGCAGGGCAGCCGGTGCTGACCCACAAGCTCTCCCCGCTCCCCGCCAGGTGCCCCAGCTGCTCGGTCGTCTTTGGCGGCGTCAACTCCATCAAGTCCCACATCCAGACGTCCCACTGCGAGGTCTTCCACAAGTGCCCCGTCTGCCCCATGGCCTTCAAGTCGGCCCCCAGCGCCCACGGCCACATCTACACCCAGCACCCGGGCTTCAGCAGCCAGCAGTCCAAGTAAGGTTGACCTGCGGGACAGACGTTGCCTCCAGAAGAGGTGGGTGGTCCCTCCAGGGAGGCTCCTCAGGAGAGACCGGACGGTCACTGGCCTGGAATGGGCCGGGCTCTCCTGCCTTGAGCAGGGGGCTGGACTAGAAGACCTCTGAGGTCCCTTCAGGCTCTATTCTATATTCTATTCTATTCTATTCTATATTCTATATTCTATTCTATATTCTATTCTATTCTACATTCTATTCTATTCTATTTTCTATTCTATATTCTATATTCTATTCTATATTCTATATTCTATTCTATATTTTATTCTATATTCTATTCTATATTCTATTCTATATTCTATTCTATTCTATTCTATATTCTATATTCTATTCTATATTCTATTCTATTCTACATTCTATATTCTATATTCTATTCTATTCTACATTCTATTCTATTCTATATTCTATATTCTATTCTATATTTTATTCTATATTCTATTCTATTCTATATTCTATTCTACATTCTATTCTATTCTATATTCTATATTCTATTCTATTCTCTATTCTATTCTACATTCTATATTCTATTCTATATTTTATTCTATATTCTATTCTATTCTATATTCTATTCTACATTCTATTCTATTCTATTTTCTATTCTATATTCTATATTCTATTCTATATTCTATATTCTATTCTATTCTATATTCTATATTCTATTCTATTCTATATTCTATATTCTATTCTTAATCTACTCTTTTATTCTATCCTATCCTATTTTCTATTATTATGTATTTTTATTCTGCATTCTATTCCGCTCTACTCTTGTTACTCTTATTCCTATGCCATTCTGATCCGAGGCCACCGTGGGGTCTCTCTGCCTGTCCTGGCAAGGGGGGGGGGATCCCAGTTGGAGGGCCGAGGGCCCCTGACGGCAGGAAGGAGACCCCCCTCTCTCTGACAACCCCCCCCCCCTTGGTCTGCCTGTGCCCAGAATGATCTACAAGTGTGCCATGTGTGACACGGTCTTCACCCACAAGCCGCTGCTCTCCTCCCACTTCGACCAGCACCTGGTCAACCAGAGGGTCAGCGTCTTCAAGTGCCCCGACTGCCCTCTGCTCTTCGCCCAGAAGCGGACCATGCTGGAGCACCTCAAGGTCAGGAGGGGGGGACGGGACAGGACGGCCGAAGCTGGGGAGGCAGGGAAGGGCGGCCGGAACCCGGCCTGACCGCTGCCTCCGTCTCCCTCCGGCCCTCAGAACAGCCACCAGCAGCAGCAGAAGCCCAAGGAGGAAGCGGTCAAGAAGCCGGCCCCCGCCGCCCCCTCCGCCCCCAAGCAGAGTCCGGCTGAGGAGGAGCCCCCGCCGCCCCTCCCCAAGCCCTCCTCCTCCTCCTCTTCCTCCTCCTCCTCCTCGGAAGACGACCCCCCCAGCTCCCCCGAGCTGCGGAAGAGCAAACGGGGCCGCTTCCAGCGCAAGGGGGAGATGGGCAGGCGGTCGCGGAGCAACGGGTGGACCTGCGGCATCTGCCACTCCTGGTTCCCCGAGAGGGACGAGTACGTGGTGCACATGAAGAAGGTCCACGGGAAGGTGAGGGGGGGGCACAGGGCGGGGAGACCCTCAGCCGGGGTGGGGGCAGCGTCTCCACCTTCGCCTCTTTACCTGGGCGAACCCCCCTGCAGTGCCAGCCCAACCAGGGAGAGCAGCCCTTTTTGTGTGTGTTTGGGGGGGGAGTCATACCCAGTTTTACCCTCACCCTGGCATCTCCCCCCCCCCTTTTCAGTGCGTGAAGAAGTTCCCCTGCCATCTGTGCGAGCGCTCCTTCTGCTCCGCCCCCAGCCTGCGCAGGCACATCCGGGTGAACCACGAGGGCATCAAGAGGGTCTACCCCTGCAGGTAGGTGCCCGCCCTCTGCCCACGCGGGGGGGGAGGGCCTCAGGGTCTCCTGGGCCGCCCCCCCTCAAGCTTCCCTTCCTCTGCTCCGTGTCCCCCTCCCTCCCTCCCTCCCACCCCTTCTTCCTTCCTTCCTTCCAGGTACTGCACGGAGGGTAAACGGACCTTCAGCAGCCGCCTCATCCTGGAGAAACACATCCAGGTGCGGCACGGGATCAAGGTGACCGACGCCAACCGGAGCCAGGAGGTGCTTGCCACCCGCTTGGGCTCCAGGAACTCCCAGGTATATGACCCCCCCCCAACTCCCCCAGCCCGAATTGTCTGCAGGAATTCAGAGAAACGTTGGCAGCCTTAGCAGGGGTGGCCCAGGCTCTCTCCGATTTGGGAGGGTGTGTGTGGGGGTGTGTGTCTGAAAATGGGGGAGGCTGAGAAAGGCAGGTGGGGGGGGGTCTTTCAATCTGTCAGAATGTGGTTAGGGGGCCCATATAGGCAGTCCTCGACCTATGACCACAGTTGAGCCCAGAATTTCTGTTGGTAAGCAAAACATTTGTTCAGTGAGTTTTGCTCTTATTTTACGACGTTTCTTGCCACAGGCGTTAAGGGAGTCCCTGCAGCTGTTCAGTTAGCCACAGGGTTGGGTTCCCCCATTGACTTTGTCCAGCGGTCCCCAAGAGGGGGGATCCTGTGACCCCCCAGGACGCTGCGGCCATCATGAATACGAGTCAGCTGAATACGAATGTGAACTGTGGTTCAGTTGAGGCCTGCCCTGACTCAAGGATTTGCTTCCTGGAGGTTTCGCCTTTTTGGCTGCCTTTCCTGTCTTTGTTCCAGAGAGAGAGAGAGAGAGAGAGAGAGAGAGAGCTGCCCCCTCCCCTTGTGGCTGATCTCTTGGGTGGGGGTCCCTCCAGTCCCCCCGGACAGCCTCAGTCACCCCGCCCTCTTCCTTCGCCCTGCAGGGGTCCAGCCGGAAACGCAAGCTCTCCTCGGACGACGGCGACTCGTGCAGCGAAGAGCCGGACAGCACCACCCCGCCCTCCAAGACCCCCAAGGGCAGCCGGCGCTCCCCCTACCACTGCCGGAAGTGCGGCTACGTGGCCCCCACGGCGGCCGACTTCCAGGAGCACATCCCCCGTCACCGGACAGGCGAGAGCGCCCACCAGTGCCACGAGTGCGGACTCTGCTTCACCTCTCAGGTGTCCCTCAACCGCCACCGCTTCATCACCCACAAGAAGAAGCGGGGCGAAGGGGAGGCCGGCGTCCCCCGGGGAGGCCCTGAGGAAGGCTCCCCCTCGGCCAACGAGGGCAGCCTCTCCTGCACCGTCTGCGGCAAAGGCTTCGACACCCAGCTCAACCTCAAGACTCACTTCCGAACCCACGGCATGGCCTTCATCAAGGCCCGACAGACCGGGGGGGCCGAGAACTAGCCGGGCCCCGGAGCCACATCGGGGGGGAACGTGCCCCCCGTGGCTCCTTCCGTGGCTCGAGTGATGGAGGCGCCTTACTTATCCTCCCAGCACCGCCTTCTGCGGCCGCCTCTCGGGAGTCCCGGCCTCCCTCGGCTGGCAGCTGGGGGGCCGAGTTGGGGTTTTTCACGCCCCTCGTGGTCCAGTGGCAGGGAGGCTCAAAGCGTTAAATCCACTCTCGCCCCAGAAGAGACCCCCACGGTAGGTCAGCCGTCTCCACGTCGGGAGGGATGGCTGGACTTCAGCCCTCACCATCCTGTCCCGCCTGAACGATGACATGAGTGTTGAAGTATGATGCATGAAGAGGACACGCGTGTTTGCGGGCGACTTCCCCGTCAAAGGCAGGTTCTTCGCACTGGTTCTTCGGCCGTCACCACTCCGGTTTTCCTTTCCTGTCTGAGGTTCCCACAGAGAAGAATTGGGGTTTCCCCTCACCCCCTGGCTTTGATGCTTCTCCACCTTTGGGTGGTTCCCCCCCCCCCGCCCCCTTGTACTCCAGATCATGGCTTGATTCCAGAAAACGAAGGAAGATGGCTTGGCGTCTCCTGGGCTAATGATGACTAGCTTAAAACCAAGAAAAGCCAGTTTTTATCTCTCTTTCCAAACCATTCCAGGCCTCAGAATATGGAGGTTTGTGCTTGGCCCCCCGTTTCTTGCCCTTGGCATGGTGCCCTCCCAGCATTGGGGTGAGGGTCTCTGTCTCGTGGTCCCCTCTGTTCCTTCGTTGGGAGTCCAAAATGCCTCAAGAGCCAGCTGGTGCTTAGGAGAAAAACAGGTTAGCCCTCGATTTTACAAGCAACAAACGTGTTGCTTGTAAAATCCAAATTTTGCAGGGTCTGAGCGAGGCGTCTACACCTGGTCAGACGGGGGCAGGAGAATGGGGAGGGGGGCTCTTTCCAAATGGGCAGGGCCTCTTCATGGGTGGGGTGGCTGCCCCTCAGTGCGGCCGCGGGGCGGGGGGGGGGGGGGGGGGTGTCCCAGTAAAGACCAGGATAATCATGTTATTTATCTGCCACCCAGATTTCTATAGTCTGTTCCCTCCATCCCTTCCCTCTTCCCACCCAAACCCTCAAATTTCTAGCCCCCATCCTGACCCCCGAGCATTCCTCCTCCGGTTTAACCAAAATCCGAAGCCACCGAATTCCCATCCGGTATCCGCCAGATCCGCCCTTTGGAAAATGCTGGAATTCCAGCACAACCTTCTTATCTGAACACTTGAGACTACGGCTGCGGGTTCGAGACAGGCGCATTTCCATGCTTTAGGCCTTCACATGCTCTGGAATCGGGAAAATGACTTTTTGGGGTTGGGGTTTTTTTGTTTTTTTTTTGGTCTTACGGCGTTTCCTTTTGGGGAAGGGGGTCTCTTGATCTGTGTTTCTCTTAGTTTCCTGGGTTTGGTTTGGTTTATTATTATTTTTTTGAGTTGTCACTAACGAAGCGCGTGTCCTTTGAACCAATCGTGTAACATAAAAGGAAAAAAAAAAACATACGAATGAAAGCAAACAGGTTGAGTGACTGGTGCTAAGTGATTATTTCCCAAAAGAGCAGAAATGTGAGCAGAAAGAGCCTTTCGCTGCTTGGTTTTTTAAAAGAAAAGAGAGGGGTTAAAATTAGGTTTTTATTATCATTTGCTTAGTTAGGTCCGTGTTAAATCAGTGCTCCCGGACTAGGGAATTGTGCAGAGTCAAATTTTCTTGCTGGGCAGCTCTGGCAGGCCAGAGGCTGGTGGTCTTTAGGCCTCCTTGGGGTGAGTTTTCCTGTCCCCTCCCCAGAGTCTGGGGAAGGGCCCTCTCAGAAGCTCTTACTCTCTCGTAGACTTCCCTCCGTATCGTGGCTTTTTCCCCGGGGGCCAAACACGCGGCTTCTCCGTCTGAGCCAGTCGTGGCTCCTTTGCAGTGGCAGAGCTCCAGGTTTGGGCCAGTAAATTTCACACGCGCCTTGGGCTAACCCAGTCTGCTTCCTTAATCGTGGTCTGTCGGGAGAAACCCCCACCCCCCCACCGCCGATCATGAGAACGGAACACGAGGTAATTTTTTTTTTAAAGAAAAAGAAAAGGAAAAAAAAAAAAACTGCGGCAACAAATAAAGTCCATTTTCAGAAGGGGCCTCCATGTACATAATTTATTTCTCGCTTTTTTCTACTTTTCCTGTGCCGCCCGCAAATTTTAGCATTTCCCCCCTCACACCCCCGTCCGAGGGGCTTTTCTTTCGGAAGACTGGATTCACACAAGTCGGCAGCAAACGGGCGTGGCCCCAGGCCCTCCCGTTGCAGCAAGACAGAAGTTTTGAGGCTTGGCCACATCGGCTGGAAGCTTTTAAAAATTCTTTCTAAAAGTCCATTATTTTTTCTGCCTTTAAAACATTTGGAGTTCTCCCTTTCTTTCCCGGCTACCCATTTCCCCCCCTCTGCCCGCGTTAAAGGTCCACCAGGTTGGCATCTGTTGATGTGGCTTTTAGGGCCTCAAGATGGGCGTTCGCCTCTGCAGCAAACAAGACTCGTTCCTGCCTGGTTATCTTGGCTGCGTTCAGAGGGAACCAAGTGGCCCCAATTTTCTGCAGGCCAACGTCCTGCCTTTCCTTGCTCTCCTGCAAGTATCGGCTGCTCTCCGGTAACGTCCTTCAGGAAACTCCAGGTCTTTTCCAGCCACCAAGCGAAAGCCGTGGGGCAGCCCCTGGTGCCAGTGCAGGAGAGGGGCAGTGCCAGCTCCGTCTCAGATCCTCTCCACGTAGTTCCCTGGAAACAGCCCTTCTTTGCCCCGAATGCGGCCCTCCCACCATCCCGACGGATCTGCAAAGGGGAGAAAAACTTAGGACGGACTGGACCCTTTCTCCATCCGAGCGTGAAGACCCCCTAACCCCTGAAGCCCCTCTCCCTCAGGGCTCTGATCCTCCAGACAGACCCACCGAGCAAAGCAGCCGTATGGATGGCCTCGGGGGTTCCCCCTGGAAAGCCTCACCTTCCTTGATTATTTCGATGAGGTCGTTCGCGTTGAAGCTCAGCTCGTCCGTGTCCTGGGCGTCGTAGGCATACAGAGCCCGGCACCGGGGAAGGCACGGCTGGGGCTTGGGCTTGGGCCTGGGCTTGGCACGGCCGCCTCCTGGGATGGGTTTGGCTTCTTTGCTAAGATGGCGCCGAAGGCTGGAAAAAGACAGTTCTCAGCTCCCTGGCATCTTGTGGCCATGCACGCCAAAGAGGAATAAACCTTCCAGGTGCTCCCACGGCTGCAGAAAGTCGTGAGTGACGTGGCAAAGGGCTGCCCCCACTCAACTCGTGTAAAAAAAAAAAAAAAACCAGCAAAGAGAAGGCAGCAAACCTCAAAATAAGTGGATTTTCAGCTCTTAAGATGGGTGGACTGCAACTCCCAGAATTCCCTAGCCAGCTATGCTGGCTAGGGAATTCTGGGAGTTGCAATCCACCCATCTTAAGAGTTGGCCAGGTTGAGAAACGCTGCCAGCCGGAGAAAAATAAAGAGGATTTTGGGGGGGGGAAAACAGGAAAATTCCTTACCCAGCCACCCCTTGGTCAGGGACACCCATGAAGCCCAGGTCAAGCGGTGCAGGGAAGGCTTTGGCACGCGGACTGGCTCCCTGGCGCGGCAGGCTGGGCTGCTCCATGCTGCCCTGGCGTGTCATGGAGTGACGCTGCTGGAAGGAGGGCCTTGCTCCCCGGGCATGGCTGCTCCACGCCGACCCTGCAGAGAATGAGAAAGTCAGCCGCCGCCTTCTGCTTAAAAGGCCCAGCAATCCCACCCAGCCAAATTGGGTCATGAGAAGCGAGTTTTAGACGGCCATTCTGGAGGCGTGTTGGGACAGCCGTCTGGGGGCAGTTTTTGGCTTTCTTGGTGGGGGCCAGTTCCCAGCCAGAAGCATCATTTGAGGGTCCGTCATATCTCCAAAAGATACCGATTGGGAAATTCTGACTTAAGAGAGGCCAGGGAATCAGGATACTCTGCAAATCAGGATTAGCAAAAACCTGGCATACAGCCACAACTCTGTTACCTGTGCTGGTCCGGGCATTCCAGCCCAGGGCAGGGCCTCCCGCTGAGTGCCGGCTTTTCCTGCTGTCCTTCCGGTTTGGGCCTGAAAAGTTTGCAAATATGTTCTGAAGAGTTTCCAAATAATTCCTGAAAAGTTTGCAAATTCTTCCTGGAAAAAATTTGCACTCATGTTCTGAAAATTCTGCAAATGGGTCCTGAATTTTTTTGCAAAACGTGTGTCTGCACATTCCTTGCACCCTGTTGCTGTCTCGCTGGGCTTCCCCCCCCCCCATCCCCCATCACATCTCATGTCCCCGACTTACGGGCATTGCGGGGAAGGCCTGGCCCGATGCTGACCACCAGGACTTTGCCATTGGTGCGGAGGAGAGCCAGATCCCCCTGGCAGATCTGGAATTGGATCTGCCGGGAGCCGGCCGCTGCCCAGGGCCCCCAGCCGTCCTTCTTCACCTTGAACTCCAGCCTGGGGGGAGGGGAAAACGTGCAGAGAGGGAGGGAATTGGTGGGGATGCAGGCAAGGGTCAGAAATTGGGGTGCTGCCCCGTTAAGGCTGGGTTCAAATCCTCAGTACTAAGCAGCTTCCAACCGCTGCCTCCTGGGATGTTTTTGTCAGGGGATCTCCTGATGGTGCCCCATCCCTAATTTTAGGGAGGTTGGCCAAAGACAGCGCCACCCTCCCGTCACCCAAAGGAGAAATTTGCAGTGACGATTAACCAGGGCTGGAAACGGGGCCTGGAAACCCTCCATGCGCAGGAGAAGTCTACCCCAGAGTCCCTAAGAGCAGGAAAGAGGGAGGCTGCTGCCTACTGGTTGCTGAACTTGATGGGCAGCTGCTTCTGGGTCCTTTCTCCGTAACGCTTGAAGAGCAGACTCAGCAACTCGGTCTTGAAGACGGACTCCAGCACGGTGTCGTACTGGGACTCATGAAGGATGAGGAAATCGTCCTGCAGGGTGCTGGGGGGGGCGGAGGGGGGGAGCATAGTCAGGAGGGGGTCCATCTTGGCACTGCTCCAGAAATGGGCTCCAGAGCGAAGAATCTGCAAATGTCTGGGAATCCCCGTTTCAAGTGGCAGGGAGTCCCACAGGCTCCCTAGAGGACAACTGCTTAGGAGAGCCTCTCTCTGCCTGGGGAAGCCCCCCCCCCCCCCCCCCCCCCCGTCCCCCCCTGAGGGAAACCGACTGGATCCTCTCCACCTCCAGCTGCCTCTTCAGGACCTCCTTAATGGCTCCCTTCTCCGGACCTTGCTTCACCTTCTCCCGCCCGATCAGGTAGAGGAATTTGGGGGTGAGGATCAGGTCCCGCTTGACTGTCTGCAACAGGCCCCCCCCAAGAGGGTTCAGTCCCAGGAAGGTTGGCACCTCGGCCAGCCAGAGCCCCGGGGGGGGTGTGTGGAGGGGTTTCCCCAGATGTGCCCAGCAGGTGCCTCTCCGCCCAACACCTCAGAGGGCAGCTCCCCAAAGGGCCAAATCGTCATCTTGACCAGAGAAGGCTGCCTTGAGCCAAGGTGTAGAACCTCCAGCCGCAGGCACGGTCTATCTTATTGCCCATCGAGAAGGGAAACGGCCAGATCCAGCAGTGCCACGCCTCACCTTGAAGCGGCGGTCGTACTTAGTGACGGTGTCGGCAAAGTCCACCCGCTCCCTGCGGCCCAGGAACCGGCGGAGTTCTGGGTGGTTGTCCAGACCGATGTAGTCGCCCATGAAGTTGCGGTTCAGGCTGTTGCGACGGCGTTCTTTCTTGTTGAGGACGAGGTTGGAGGCTTTGGGGGGGGGAGGAAAAACCGCGGTTAGAACTGGCTGCAATTGGCATGGGGTGGAAGGCAGGAGTCCCTCTTCACATGCTCAGAGGCCGCCTTGGCCGCCTTCCTCTGCAGGAGGAAGGGATGGGCTTCTCCAAAGGGTGGGTAAAGGCTGCCCTCTGGTGGCTCGTCTTGGTCACTGCACCCAGGCAGGAA